TATGAACCGAAAAAAATTAAGGAATAGGATAAGTTTAAAACGAATAAATGAAAATTTTCTGTTGGTGATACGAATAAATTCACAGTGACCGTCCTAATTGCAGATAATTTATGTGTTTGTGAAACAATTCGGGAAATGTGCTAAACCTTTTGCTGCTGACCATTTACATGTGACTTCACAGTCTCAATTTCATGCTCTGAATAAAAGCATTCATCAACTATCGAATACCATCCGCTGTATTTGGCTTTCTTGATAAAGCCTCGTTTACGTAGTTTCGTCTGAATACTCGCCGAAATCATTTAAAACACAAATTGAGAAAAACAAATTAATATTTAACAGAACGATGACGAATTAGCTCACTCAACTGAATATTTAATCAAAGAGAATGAAAAATTCATTTCCATTGCAAATAACATGTTTTTGCAATGTAAGTGCACGAAAAATCGCTTGTTCAACAAATTGCAATAATTTCACTCAGCAACGATTAATAACACACCACTACACTGAACAGGACCCAAGTGGGAAGAAGATCCAAATGAAATGGGAATTGAAAAACACATAAAAACGGACCCAAATTTGTTCGACAACACGTTTGTGCCTATGCTCAGTGGTACGAATGAAATCGGTTGGCTGAATTCGAAACGTTTTGAAGAGTTCACGGAATGATCCACTCAATCGATCACAGAACACTTCAGGCGCGAGTCCGGCAGCTTGAGCCGCTTTTTGGATCTGAATGAGCAATTGACAACGCGAAGTAAACTCTCAATTGGCACCTAACACCTCCGCAATACCAAATGCAAACACAGTTGGGAGCTGTAGATAAGAGAATCTGCTCTAACTGCATGACTGCGGCTTTCATGCTGATTCAAAATGTGTTTTGGATAAAACAATTGGATGAGGATCTGGATTTCAAAAATCCTCTCCTGTTTTGGGGAGCATTGTTGTGTCTGATTAAGAACCGTTTGAATTTCTTCAGCTGTCTCTTTGCTGTAGACAGGCATCGCCCGTCTGACCTCGTCTCCTCCTTTCAGCATCGTGTCGAAAACGTTTAACACTGCTAAGATTAATCTTTTACCTTCACGCCATGTTCATCAGTTCCTGTGCTGAACAATCGGCCGCAATATTTTCGGCTATCACCACAATTTTCTCGATCAATTCTAAAATTCTTCAAAACATTCCATCGATACGCAGCATCCGCGATTACCGCTGAATATAAATGCCCAATGTGAGGAGCTGAAAATCATTCTGTTGCATC